CTACTTTTAGGTTTGTCAACGAACCTATAAACGAAGCCAGTTTAATGACAGTGGTATGCTGGTTACTTTTGCCAGAGAATTGACCTATGGAGTCGGAGAGATGTTGTGACGAACTGCCGAGTTTTAAAGAAGGATACAATTTATTGGTGTGAACGGGCCTCAACCCTATGCCTACTGGTGAAATGACCTTTGATCATTTTTCTAACAATCATTTGACCCCAAGTGACAGCACTTGAGACGCAGTTGCTAACCGTTTCAGAAATGGCCTCTTGCCCCTTTCCCAGTGGCGTTAGTACGAACAATTGCGTGGGAAGACGAAGACGCTCCCATACAAAAGAAGGCGCATAGAAAGTCGTCGTCCGATAGTATCACTTTCATAACTGTTTCCAAAATAGGTATGTAAAGACGTAACAGAAAACTTAGCGACGGAAAGAATGCAATCGAAAATCTACAACGCAATAAAGGCACAATAGACTTTATTATATCGGAGGGAGAACAATAGAAGAAAACGAATAAGGAAAATACGCGGGTATCGTTAACGATAAACATTATCTTTCAAATCCTTAGCTAAACGACAGCAGATGCACATTCTTGTTTAATCATTATTGTAATTAAAGTAAATACAGGATGTCACTATTGTATAGTCTTTCTTTTTTATGCATTTGCCATCGCATAGTGTGGCCTTTTGTATTTACAGGTGGCTAAGTATACTTTTTTTGCCTTAGTTTTTCTGTTAGAATAAGAATAAGAATAAGAAATTTATTCATAATGTTCATTACATTAGATTAGACACCATTATTTAAACATAATACAAAGTTATAGACACAGTCTAGTAGAGCCTACGCTTTTCGTGACTTCATAATCAGAAGAATACAAATGCAAACAAGGTTACACCATAGGCCTATAAACTTATTAAACCGGATTTCGATACTATAGAAATGGATGTGTCACGTGAAATATTTTAGTATTATGTACCATTTTACGACTGGATTGCCTAATGGAAATCATTAAATAGCAATAAGCTATTTCATTATTTCAGTCAATTTCTACCAATCAATGTTATAAATGCAAAAGTTTGTAAGAGGGATGTTTATTACTTTTACAAGTAAAAAAACTGAACGAATCCGAAAAGATTGTAGTTTCATAATAACTTACAATTTATAAAGTGTCACTGTGTGAAATTCTCCAAAGATATAAAAGAAATACCTACTTCACAAAAGAAATCACTGGTGGTGTATTGTACGCTCAAGTGTATTTACTGCGACATAGTATTTTATAGTTAGTTGTAAAGTGTAAAGAATGTAGTCAGTTGACGAGCGAGTAGGATGTAAATTATTACAAGGTCGGCAGGCTTCGACGAATAATTACCGATCAGCCTGCGAGATATAAATCGATTTATCGAAGTTTCAAATCAGAATCAGCACTAAAGACTATAAATTACTCCCCCGTTTGGACATTATTTATCTGGTTTATGAGTCTTCATGTATAAACAGTACGACTAACCAAAGGAAGATTACTAATCCCATACTTGAAGTGATCACAATTGATTGCCACTTTGTCGCATCTGCTTGTTGCGGCTTCGAATCCTTCTGAGGATAAAATCTTAGTTATCACGAGGATCATAGTTCTGTACTATGTTACGTATGTATGAATATTTTAATTATACTCCAAGTGGCTATTCTCCTTTTTGTGGTAAAGAGTCCAATTTATATTATTTATCTAAGTTGACTTGAAAACTGGTCCATATCTGTGATTTTTTCTCCAAGTTTCCTGGTATGTTTTGTCAGTGACAAGGTGACATTGCAGTCATTAGTTAGGTGCAGAGTGCGGTAGGGTAATTACGTGTTTTTGCGTCATGGGGAGGTGCTGTATGTAGTATGTCTACTACTGCTACGTTTATATTACAAAACTGCAACAAATCATCGTGTAGTTACAACTTACAAATTCTAACTTCAAAAATGTATGTATAATGAAATCCTTCAAGAACTAATAAAACAAGACCTGGAGACAAATGGCCTATTTAATTTACTACTCTAAAAACTTATCTATGTTAATATGCAAAGATTAGTAGGTTTACAAATTCAACTTATTATGGTAACATTTTAATTAAATGATAATTCGTTGGTATGTAGTTGTAATTTTGAACGACTTTTATCTCGTGATATTTGGCGATGCAAACACATTTGTACTTTGGAATGTATCCCAACAAAGTTGTAATTAACAGAACTTGTTGCTATTTGGGGCAATCTCCTTTTACGTCAATGTTGACAAATAATTACCAAATCAGTGGTAGGGAGGTATAGGGTGTTGCAACAAATGGCAATGCCAGATTTTGTATGGAAGGTGGCGTCTTTTATTTTTCGCGCGGCCATCGACCAAACTTTGTTTTTTGATTACAAAATAGTGTAATAAACCAAACTTACTATGGCATGTATACCACTAAACTCAGTCTGAACTGAGTTACGAGCGTTAGAAGTTTGATGATTTACATACTAGATTCGCTTTTTGCGCGCAAGTTTTGTTAGAAATTGCAACAAAATATTGCGCTAATTTTTAATTGCGCTGATTCTACTCCACACTGATGTCTGGAGCCTTTAATGGGTGGTATTGTTTGTTTACACATACAATGTCACTATTTTGTTGCAATTTCTTACAAAACTTGCGCGCAAAAAGCAAATCTACTATGTAAATCATCAAACTTCTAATGCTCGTAACTCAGTTCATCAGACTGAGTTTAGAGGTATACATGTTATAATAAGTTTGGTTTATTACACTATTTTGTATCCAAAAAACATGGTTTGGTCGATGGCCGCGCGAAAAAAAAAAGACGCCAATTTCCGGCATTGTCTTTTGTTGTACAATATAGAGTTATACTAACTCCTCTAGTCAACCTTTGGGCTTAGCAGAAATTAGAGCGGAGCGTGCCTGAATTTTATTAGATTACAAGTATTAAAGCAATAAGTAACTGTCACTTCAGACAGACTATACTTTCTTTGTAACTCTCACGGGAACGAAGTTGCGAGCCGAATGTGCAATAGAATAACTACTATTAATCATACCGCAACTTCTTAATAGTTCTTGAGAACTAATCCTGATAAATGACAACGTCCTTAGTGCGTCTGGAGCGTGCCAAGAGTGCTAGAACAAACATGTTTCGTCGATGATTCATAGAGCCAGCCGTCTGCTGTGACATAAACAAAGCGATTTTCTATGCTTTATCTAAGTTTATTATGATTGACAAACTTCAAACGAGAATTTAAAATTCAAATCACATCTACTATCCTATTTTGACCGATTGCTCAAAGAATGTTAATCGAACAGCTAGATAAATAAACCATAAGTGCCGTGTAAATATTATTTCACTTACCAGTAATTGTTGTTATTGTATTATAGTTACGCAGATAAAATGCAAGGCATAGTGCAGCCGTTCCCTATAGCTTATCGTGTTTAATAACACTGCCATATTGGCACAAATAGATATCAGCGATCTATAATGAAATCGACAGTGCAAACAAAGATACAGGTGTATCGAGTAATAATAAATTATACATTTCCATTTCGTTTACTTAGATTACTAGAGTTGATTGTGACATTATTATTCGTAGTACAGTTTGTAGTAAATTTAATAATAAATGCAAGTATAGATAGAATACATGGCAACATTGGCAACGTAGGGTTTTTTGCATCAACATTAGTCTAGATCCGAAATACGCAAAGTAGTGTTAAATATAACATTTACAAAGTAAAAGTACATAATAGTAAAAACTATAAACTGTTACAGAATTTTCAGTCCACAGGCACGGTTAGTAACTAAACTACCTACTATACATTAACCCAGTTCTATTTTTTATCCAACCTTTTATATCAACATTTGAAATCCGCACGCGCGCCACTTCGCCCAGTGGCCCTACTTCATGAAACCATGTAAGTTTTCCCGACTGTAATATCTATTCGTCTTTCTCACTCACCCTTGGAATCTGTTACGAGCGAGAGTGACAGAAAGAATCGTAGTAAATAAATACGAAAATCGCGTTACGGAATAGGCACTCAGATAACGAGTGATAGCTCTAAAACTAAGTTTAACATCTGTTTTTTCCGAACTCCGACCGCGGCCGGTGTATTACATTAAACATTACCATGTTTGTACTAGGGATGGGGAGCCATGCTATTTTAGTGTGCATCACCGGTTTTTATGAAATAACTGGTTTTACGTTACGGATGTTATCAACCGATTGGATAATGTAGAGGCCATTTGGCGATAGATAGTCGATTCTAATGTTACATTTACGGAATATTTCATTTCCCATGTTATTAAAGCTGTTAACAGAGCTTAGTAGGAACTGGAGAAAATATTTTTTAAACAAATTATGACATGGATTAAACAAGTGTTTGAAATTAGCAGCAAACATTTACGAACTTTCATTTACAAAAAATAATGGAGATGACAAGAGTTAGGTTTAATCAAATTCCGTTCTTCTGACTAACAAGTTAACCTAGAAACTAGGTTTAGTATGTAACAGATGTCTCAACTTGGTAGAGCCAAGAAAAAATGCACGTGCTGCGTGTACTAAATTCGATGCCAAAAATATTTCAATTTCTTTGAAATACGGACCGAACATCTAACGTTTCAACGTGTTAAACCAAACGGTTACCATTTTACGAGACATAGTTAAACCTTGTTTTATTAAACGATAAATATTTTACAGCGTTAATTATTTTCACATAAAGAGCTTTGTGTTTTAATAAATTGTGCCCATAAAAGTGAATGTCTATTTAAAATTTTCCGGGATACTAAATTCCATCGTCCTTTGTGTACAGGTGAGTATAGACTAGGAGCATTTCTATGTAATGTAACGTTCTTGCAAATGGTACAACACAGGGAAAATGTACGACGTTTGGTTCGTGACAGGGTGAAACACTAGACATTACATTGAGCGGCTCTAGTGACTAGTAGTCTATACTCACCTTACAGAAAATTAAAGAAGTAAAGGCACACTTACCATTTCTTTCTTCAGATACGTGAGCTGCGAGTCGAGGTCAGTGGGGGGCGGATCGGAGGGCGAGGACGGAGGCTCCTGGTCCTCAGGTTCTCCCTCTGCGAATCCGCTGAGGCTCTTGGGCAGAGGAGGCAGCCCTTGGAGCGACATGGTGCTGATAGCGCGGAACTGCTTGCGAAGTCTGGAGAGGAAGCAATAGATGTAGAAAAAATAGCTGTAACTGGGAGAAAGAAACTGGATATCGTGCTGTTTGGACGGCCTTGGAGAAGTGATTTCAATTTTAAGCTTTGTAAGAATCCTACGTTTATGTTTTTTCTGTTTTAACTAAGAGTTCTTATCAGCTTCTCTTTTGAACTATTTGGTTGATTTCATTTGTACGTCGCTGGACAATAGGCGAGCGAAAATAGCTCTCTTAGCTGTTTGATTAAGCGATTGGGTAGAGACTAAAATCTTACTTTAGTAATGACTAGTGATAGGAGCACAATCGAGCGAGAGAGAAGGATATAAGATTTGGAATGAACGCTCGCTAGATTGATTTTCATATGACAAGATTTTGCATGATTTGAGTTATTCCTATTGGAACACAGTAGGCCTATTTCATGTACAATTATGCATATTATTTTTATTGCTTTATAAAACCATTTACAATTCTCATAGCAATCTGGATGAATCGATATCGACTTGTTTTATGATTCAAACATTAAATAAAGACAACACAAGTAATTATATTACAGTTGAACAATATTTATCTTGGAAGTAGAGTTTACAGCTCGAATGATATCATGGATCAATAAGACCACAACATGGATCAAGATATAAATAGCCCTTGTGTAGGTGGATCAATGTTGCTTTTAAGTTCCAGAAACCTGCAAAGTGCATTAAAGACGTTTCGTAGATTTATAGAGCATGATATCATACAAATTTTCATGGACAAACAACAATCAAAAGACTGAATGATTAAGCAGACGGACGTATGGATTTATGCCAGAAAATGTTCGGGAATTTAAATAAAAGATTTCAAATAAATCTGTCACTATTAGCTCTACGTTTGGGGGTGGGGATAGGGAGATACTAGTAATTGACGTGATAGTTTAATACGTGACGTAATTATCTTTTTAATTTCTGTAAAATTTTTGAAAACTCATTAACAGTCACGTAAAAATACTACTTGTTAGGAATGTTAAAAGAATAACAAGTCCTATTAATAATAGTGCGACACGAGACGACTGAAACAATGTCGCTTCAAAGAGTAAAATGTTAAATTTATTAGTTTCCCTCAGCCGTTCAGTCGCTTTATGTCGAGCTCGACGTTTATTTTCTTAGCACAAACTACAAAAGGCGTTCTTCAAAGGCATAATAAACTTGTTAGCAGTACAACCCAGTTCAGCCCACGTGACACGAAGGCCTACAAAGTTAACAATTCATAAGTTGCCGAAGAGTCGTGATAACGCAATTATTACTTGTTAACGATGTCCCATTTGACTGACCTAAAGTTTGAACATATAGTTATANTAGTTATGTGCTACTACACTATACGTATGACTAACCGGACAACCTGGTTCAGCTACTGACCTTTAAATACAAACTACCGGTAAATTTTTAATAACCACGGAAGATTCATGTTGATGCAGTGATAACAATAATGATGAACTTAAATTATAGCTACCTAGACTTGAGGTCATCGTCCAAAATGTAAGCGTAAGCTTGGTCGTATCCATCGTCTGTATTTCCACTTGTGACAGAAGACATAGCATAATTCTTTTCCGAATCCTCAGAATCACAATGTCCGTTTCTTTCATTAATGTCCTTCGCTTCTAACGCGCTGGGAACGCTGGACTGCGAGTGCATCGTCTGCAACTCATATATCAACATCTCGTGGTTGTTCATGTCCTTCATCAACTCAATTTCCGGCGAATCAACACCATTCAGATTCTCAGAGTCTTTGCCTTTGTCGATAACAATATTTGCATCGTCCTTGTTTCGACTCGCAAGTATTTCTGAAATTAACAATTCGGTGACCCTTGACGTTTTTCGCTCTAAGGAATTGGTATTTTTATTTACATTGTCGTCACGTTTCGGGCTTGTAGAAACCTCGCGCGTATCCGGAGTGTTATTGACTTGCTTAGAAGGACTGTTACGTAATCTATCATCGAATTCCTGAACTTCCTCCACAGTAGCATAGGGCGCTTCTGATAAAGGGCTCTGTGGGGGCTTCGCATCTATTGGCGATGAATAAGGACTTATATCCGGCGATTGCTTTGGGGAACTACGGTTACTGCTTGTAGACTTTTTCTGTATAGGTAAAGGCTTCATTGGTTTCAACTTAGGTTTAGGTGATAAAGGCGGAGGAGGAGCTTTCCTCAATGGCAATGTTTTCTCAGCAAAACTTGACGATTTCGTCACTTTACACTTAGCGTCTTGGTCTAACTTGTTAGAAGTGGAAAGAGATCGCACTAAAATTTGTTTACATGTTTTCACCGCTTTAGAGTTTAGGGACTCGTTAGATCTTTTCGTCGGCGCCGGCGTCGGTATCGAGCTACTGTCGCTCGAACTCCGCCTAGAGTTTTGTCCGCTAGACCTTCGTTCGTCGGAAGAAGAGCTTCGATCACTGATGACATCGCGGATGAACGACTTAACTCGTGCTAAACCGTTCTGTTTGGGCGAAACAGTGGTCTGATTCACGGCATTGGTTCGTTCTAATGTTTTGGCTTTTGCGGTTTCTGGTTTCACCCGCGACTTCGACAGATTGACCTTGGATTCAGCAACGGCCTTCCTCGTCTTCGCAAGGGCCTCAGCTACCACACTCTGGTTGGGCCGCGGTGGCACGGGGGGCGGCCCCTTCAGTTTGCTGGTCTTCATGGGTTGGGCGTTGGTCTGTACCATCAGCATGCTTGAGCGAAGCGTCACTCGAACAATACTATAAGAGGAGAGCTATAGTATGGAGCGCGTTTGCACTTCACTGCGTGTCACAACACTCGCGAGCGCTCAGACGCGGGGTCGACACGGCCGTCCCCGCGAGCGAGCGTTACCGACTGCCGCGCGGCGAGCCGACCGCATGCCGGCTCCTTTCCAGTGTCCCACAGGGCGACACGACTTTTGCAAGCAAATAGGCACTCACAAAACTTTTAACTTTACCACCCGGACCTAGAAATTATTCAGTAGTATACTGTTGCGTATATCTTCCAGTTTACGTGCGCCGCACGGACGAACAATGAGTTGACCCACACTTTTAATAACGTAAAAGCGATTGTTTACAATGAGAACGAACGCAATACTGGCTACCGGTCCGTGGCACACGCGACGCGCTATGGCTATTGTTTGGCGATTTTGAAAGCATACTTCAATCTATTGAATTCTATTGTTTGTTGTAATTGTAAATATTGTTATGTGCCTAATTCATTACAGGATACAGCTGGTAATAAATTGCACATGTGCATTATGTATTCAAATGGTAGGTAAAACTGCCGACAAAGTTTTTCTTTTTATTATTTATGCTCTTGTGTAACACAACATGTTAATAAAAAAACATTGTACAAAACAAAACAAGTTGAGTGATTGTGCAACAAGATTCATAAATTGATTACAAAATGAAATTGATTTATCATATACTTGCATACTATTTTTTATGTTATACACAGATCAGGTAGTAGGTATTACTGTTGTGTTCACATGGCCTTGTGGGATGTTGAAAGGCAAGGTCTGCCGTTACAAAGCAAGTGAATGAAAGCATTGTATGTTTTATAAAGTGGATTAAACTTGAATTTTGAACAACAATGAAAATAATCCAGTTTATTGACAGCATTAACTTTAATTTCTAAAAAAATATATAAAAAAATTGTTATCACATTGACCAATTGGCAACTTTCAAAATTGAAATGAATAATTTGAAAGTAAAGATAGGAAAATATCGACATCAAAGGTATTCCTACAGGAAACCATCATAGGACTTCAAAAAATAATAATCTAACAGTAAGGTAATTCACTGTCACTGTCTTGAAGCCGTATGGAGCTTTGCTAATACTTGAAATTTCCCTTTTGAGGATGTATTTACATCATTAGCACCATAAATAATTTAGTAGTTTACAAATTCTATTCTACTCAATACACCAAGAATTGAACACAGATATTATTATACTTAGTAAATATTCAGCCAAATTAACCATTACCTACATTTTATTGATATCTTTTTATGGGACAGGAGGTAACCTAATGGTGAGTGATTACCGCTGCCCATGAACACCTGTAGCCCCATATCCGGAGGAATTTCTAATCAATAAATCAATTAATTTGACACAAGTGCCAAAGGGTTTAAAGTATAAAATCAATAAATACAACTTACATGAACTTGTCTACTTGTTATTGAACTTCCAGTCTTGTCTGCACATAGGGCACTGCTGCTGCGGTTGAGAGTGTAGCCACTTCACGATGCAGTGGATGTGGAAGCAGTGGGAACACGCTCCCCACACAAGCGGGCAGTCGTCTCCTGGCAACTTGCAGTCGGGGCAACAGCTGTCGAAGGGCATGCGACAAATGCCGCAGTTGTCGTCGTTCGCCACCCAACGCCAAGTCGCGACGCCGGTCCAACCTTGGTACAAAATTAACTCAATAACACGAAATGCTGCGGTTTTTCTACGTAGATTATGAGTGACGAACTGTGTCACTGACTTACTTTTAATTGTTACTTTCATAGCTTAGCATAACGGCTACGCACGAAGTTGTGGGACTCAGTTCTATTACATTCACTGCTAAAAACACTATTTCGTCGTTATTCTACCCTAAAACATAAATAAACTTAATCAAAACACAAATCAATACACAAGAAAAAGCTGACTGGTTGNTCAAGTTTTGTTCCCAACTTTGCCCTCCATTTTTATCTGTAGCTTCATGGGTTTGACCATCCATATCTGTGGGTTTGACTCACAGTTTTATTTTAACGATTAGTGGTGGTACATTTGTTAAGGCTTGCAAAAATTAATAGTTAAGGCTGTATATCAACGTTTATCATTGCGTGCCATATAAAACGTCTTCGAAAAAACTTGAAATGTCAACCTCAGCAAGGGAGTTTCAGTTTGATGTGTTGGAATTTATTTAATTTTTATTAAATACGATCAATTTCAATAAATTCACTGTAAGAAAAAGAAACCATGACTACATTTGACTCCAAATATGATGTGAGTAAATTCTTAACAGCACTGTATTGTGTGTACATGGACGATATTGAAACAATGTTTACTACTTTACGTTTATACAGTTTTTCATGTTTTTAATAACCGTATCCATGCGTTTTAATTAATCTACTTGGTAATTATTAATAGTATACTTATAGCACAGCCTAGAACTTGCCATTTCCTAATTTCTTACCTATCTTAAGAATTGTCTTGAGCTGAGTCATACTTCTGAAATTATGATATCTTTGACCAAAAAAGTTGCTTGTTCATACATTTATTAAGGTGACAGAAGTAGCTTAACGTGCCTTAGTTGTGCTCTGTATCAAGATTTGTTGGGGGCTCCCAGATTCTATTAATCTGTGGTAGCCTTGCAAAAATTAAGGATATTATGATTCGAGCCTTAAGCAAAAGCAAACTTACACAAAACTGTTATCTACTTAGTTCTAATAATGGAATATTTAGAACAAGACATTCTTTTTGAGGGTTGTTATACCAAAGCATTCCAAACTAATCTTACTTTAAATAGGATGTAAAATTACCTGAATTATGCCTAGTAGGGTAACATCTTAGTTATGAAGTTTTATTGATATCACCTTATGTTTCAGATGTTTCCAGCAGGCGATGTGGGCGTGGTGGAGGGAGAGATGAACATCCCCACACAGGGCGGCGCCCCCGGAGATGGCATGGAGTTCAACACACTCGACGAACCGATTAAGGAAACATTTGTGAGTTATATTGTTTTAATGTGTTCAAAGCATTAGTTGTGGAATGATAATTTAAAAATATATAAGTGTTTTGTGTTTTTGTTAGATATCTACTTTATAAAATAGAGACAGTAAAATAAATTCAATTATCATCTTTTTCTAGCTCTGAAAGTGAATTATAGTATGGTAGTGGAAGTACCTATTGTTTAGTCTTGTTGTCATTATGTGGGAGCAATTAAATCTAGCTCTGTAATTATGAATAAAAAGTTGTAGTTGTGTTTTTGTTGGATTTTTTTTAATTCTTTCCAAACTTAAAAAAAGGATTACACTCAATAGATCTTATCTTTTTTTTCAGCTCCGAGATTTAAGAGCAGTTGGCAACAAATTTTACCATGTACTTATTCCTAGAGAAAAGTCTAGTTTATTGAAAGAATGTGAGTAGCTTATTCTTATTTCATTCATATTAATTTACAAATCTTAGTTTATTTGTTTAGAGTAGACATGTTTTATAGTTTTTCATTACTGCATTAAATAGTCTTCATTGAAATCAAACCCTTTCACATGCTTTAAAGTTTAAACTATTGTGCAGCCAAGTAACATTGCCTGTAATTACTTTTCAGGGGATCTCTGGGGCCCTCTTCTGCTTTGTACATTCATGGCGACCATTCTCCAGGGCTCAGAGCGAGCGGACAAGTCCAATGATGGCGGACCTGAGTTCGCTGAAGTCTTCGTTCTAGTCTGGATAGGTGCAGCTGTTGTTACGTTAAATTGCAAACTCCTTGGGGGAAACATGTAAGTATTTTTCAAATATTAAAGTTGCACTATAAATAACTGTTATTCCCACGCCCAAAAGCGAGAAATGCCTATAAACTTCAACTGGATAGTGTACGGGAATCGTAAACTCATTTGAAAAGTCCTAGCCTAGTCCGTAGCCTATCCTTCTTTCAGGTCTATTGCTAGGTGCGTGAAAACGTAGTAGCACAAACAAATAAATTGTACATTGATATTGAATATTTTTTTCTCGTGCCATCATTTTTTCTCCATAGCTGATATATTTAGATTCTTGATTATTATTTGAGCACGAACTACTGTTGCCTCTAGCTAGCTAGTTATGATATTACACTCGGCACTGGCTAGCCAGTTCCTTTGCTTAAACTTGGCTTGACATGCTGCCGCGTATCTAGATCTCAGTTCACCACTGTCTGTCAGTTTAGTAAAGGAATTGTAATCTAATCTTGACCTACTTGTGCCTCCAGCTCATTCTCGTAAACTCAGCTCAACACAGTCTGTTTAGTAGTAAATATTCTGAATCAGCGTATTACACTTGAAAATTTCGACGGTTTCATCCAGTGTCTAAGTAGCTCAGTTGGAAGAGCAGTCGCCCGGCAAGCGGAAGGTCGTGGGTTCAATTCCCGCCTTAGGCATTCCGATATTTTCAAGTTATTTATAATTTTCACATTAGTTTGAGATGCGACTCTTAACGCTAAAAAATTAAATATCTATATTCTGAATCTGTATCAAAGGAATTATAATCTAAGCGCGAGCTACTTTTGTCCCTAGCTCGTTCTTCCAATCAGTGTGCGTGCTGGGCTACTGCCTGTTTCCGATAGCGCTGGCGCTAGTTGTGTGCCGCGTGATCCTCTTCGCGTCGCAGACCACGTTCCTCTTCTTCCTGAGGCTCGTCATATCGCTCGTCGGCTTCGTGTGGGCCACGTTCGGTGAGTTGGAGATTAGCTCGCGAGCTAGTTCGCGCGCGAGTTAAATGCAGTTTTTGCTTTGGCGCTCAGTGTTTAATTCGCGCGTGGAGAGTAGTTGGTATTGGGGTAGAGATTGTAGTGTAGTTTGAGATGGGTAGAAAGTAATGGGGATTGTTGTTAAAATTGATAAAAAAGGCGGCAAATTCCGTGAATCTAATAAAGGAGAAATAAATATTCCGGTAATTAAGTTCGCCTTATGTACAAATTTATTTTGGCATTAAAGTTTAAATAATTAAAAATTAATAATTAAATGACTTAAAAAAACTTAATTACGACTGAACAAAGTCGTACTCAGAAAAGGATCTAAGTACTCTTGAATTAATTAATTGAAAGCGAATCTATATTTGGGAAATAAGTCTTGCAAATGCGTCCAAAACTCTGACTAAATATTTCTTGATACTCTTACTTTGCTAGTATTGAAACCTACAATAATTTGAATACCAACCAAATAAAAACTATTGGTTGCAAGCGGCGCAGGACCGGTCTTTGTGGAAATCCTTGGGGAAGGCCTTTGTCCAGCTGTGGACGTCTTTCGGCTGAAACGAACGAACGAAACAAAAACTAACACATTGCTAGATAAATTATATTTTACTAACTTTCATCTAAAACATACCTAATAAACTAAGCCTGAAAACTAACAAGTCAATTAAAACCAACATTTTTCACTTTATAGCGGCGACAAAGTTCCTCGGCGACAGCCAGCCCGAAGGCAAAAAGGCGCTCGCGGTGTACCCTATATGCCTGTTCTACTTCATCCTGTCCTGGCTCGTGGTGTCCCACAGCAACGTATAGACCGGGACAAGGGACATGTGGTAGTTAAGACACACCCTCGGCTTGCTCTCGATAGTATAAACCTGCCAATTTTTGTGATAATTTTGGAGTCGGTGAACGAAAGTTTTATGGAAACCACAATATTTATGTAAATGTGTAAAAATAAAAAGTGGTGTTGTTTTTGAGGTGTATAAACACAACATTACCGGCAAATGTGTAAAGTATGTATTATGTGAAAATATTTCGCTTAAATTTTGAAAGATATGCACGACAAACCCGCAACTGGTCGCTTCTCCAAATCAATGCGTTAAATATTAATAAAAATCTTACAAATCAATTAATTCAATCGCAACTGTACAATTCTATTTGTCTCGAATCTTTGACGTAGGCAATTCTAAAAAAAATTTAGTTCACCGATTAACGAGCTAACCAACGATAGCTCACGGTTAGATTTGGCAGCAGTATTATTTTGATCGAAAGCAAAACCGACGGGTAGAGCAAAGCGCACGGCTGAATTACGACGCGAAATCATCTGATTTGACTTTTGGGGTTCCGAAGTCATGACAGTGACTTTTAATTTAAGTAACGATGCATTTGTGTTTTTGTATTTTAGTAACGATTTTATAGTTGTCACTATATGTATCAAACAATTTCTATTTTCAAACTTCTTGAAAGCTAGTCAAAAACTACGATGTTAAATCCAACAGACTTCTTTAACAATAGTTTAGGAGCATGGCGTGGCGTAATAAGGTAAAGGTGGAAAATAAAATCATCAAAATAATTATACATACCTACAAATGACAGTGCAATATTTATCTCTCGACGTTATTTAGTATATTATGTAGTTATTCAAAATGTTAGTTCGTGGTGCCAATAAACCACAAAATGCGGAAAAATATGAACAAGGGCACTTGCTATCTTTAATAGTTGATCATATTTATATCAAATCATGTGATTGACCAGCGTGACTCGTGAGGCCGTGCGAAACTATCGTAAAACATATTTATATCAGTTAGAATTTAATATGTGAATAAACTTTCGATCCGTCATGTATTTATTGTTTTGAAGTGTTACTCGTGTTATTGTGTTTTTACCAGCACAAGTGAGCATTCCAATTTTTATTATAATAGTAATTAATGTAAAGACACAATTTTGTATATAGTATCGATTAAAACGCTATTTTCTGTCTGTTGTCGTTTTTATTTAAAATTTTACAAAACATTTAATATGTATACAAAAATACACAGTTGATAGTAATTCGAGACATTCAGTACACGGGGTTGCTACAGTTTTTTTGCAGGTACACTAATGTGAGAATGACCCGGTTTAATTTTCGTCTAAACTAAAGCGTCAAATGTATATGTCAAATTCGAATCAGTTGCAGGACTTGCAGGCAACTACTAATAGGAACAATTCAGAGAAACCGAAATGACATTTGGCTAAAATTAAATTATAAAAAAGTCTACTTTAATTACAAATCCGGCATTAGTACTTAAAACATTCACAATCATCCCATTCACTAAATAATATTTACAACTTAAATTCATAAATTAATTTTGGCTCTGCATAGCACATACTAATCATAGTCACAACAAAAACTTGAAAAGCACAAAATTATTCGATAGCCAGAATCTCTTACGGTAATAACTACCTTAACAAAATTTCGGTTTAACCATAAAATTAAATCTAAGCTATGCTAGAACAGTATTGCATTACGTAGTATATTTGTGCTTTTACAGTAAATTACATGCGCTACGACCGGTTATAATAGTGCAATAGTATGTGTAATGCTACATTCAACAGTAACTACCATATCACTACTTTATCACATAGCAATCCTATACCTATGAGTGCATTATACAGATGTATCTGCTATACGGCGTACAAACGCATATGTTTTCATGTAAGTACTTAACTAATATAATTATAGACATTTAGAAAAGGATTGGTTCTAAAATATACCTATCATAGCTCACATTCAGTTCAGATATTTCATACAGACTACTACGTACCTAATTGATATAAGATAGGATAAGAAGTTTTACAAATGTGTATATTGTATACTTATTTTTACGTTTTAAGGTATATTAAATGTGAATTACAAATTGCATTGAATATTTCAGTTTAGGTATGCTTATAGTTACCGACTGCGTATAAATATGTTGTAATAACATTTTTGTGAAGAAATAATTGCTAAATTTATAAATAATATTAATAACATTTAACTAAACAGCTGCATCGTTGAACTCAAAGCGCTGGAAACTTATTGGAATGGCATCCGAATATAGGATTGTCCATTTATAAAAAACACAACATAATGTGTAAGATTTTTCTTTTCAAAAATTTCTATGCTGTACCATTTTTAATGCGCACAATCATAGGGTTTTTACTTGTTTGCGTCTGTGCTCCCCAATTCATACGACCTAAAGTCACCAGTTCATAGTGTTTATTCTCCACCTGAGCAAGCTCATTCATTTCATTTCCCATCATCACTTCGCAAACTGCTAAAAAAAGGTTATAACCTGTACGCAGCGCTAAAATTGGGACAACCCTATAAAAAGTTAAATTAAGTAAATTATAATTATTGTTGTTCCGTCAGCTTAGCTGGATTCTGAACCGCTGGATGCCTTGTCCGGGGTCGTGGGGGGAGAGGACTTAGGCGACATAGAGGGGAGGTGGTAGGACATTTGCATTTGAAGCGTGTCTCTGGCTTTTCGCGCGCTTTTGTACGTCAGCGAGTTGGCGCGCGGCTTGCGTCGGGAGAAATGCCGCTCCACCCACTTGAGCATCGCGAGGACTGAGTCGGTGGAAGACAACCGACGCTCGGCTGAGGTCTTCGTGATGGTCGATGACGCGATACGGAAGGTCGCTGCCATACCTTTGAGAGCCTGTGGAAAGTTGTTTGGTCAATAATGTTACGACGATTAAGAATGATCAGGGGCTGATTTTTCAATCGTCAGACAACTTTTAACTCAAGAATAACCTTGTCATTTTGACATATTTCCCATACTAAAACTGTCAATGTGCCAAACTTATTCTTCAGTTAAAAGTTATCCGACGATTGAAAAATCAGCCCTAAGATGAGCAAGAGTAATTATAAAAACATTGAACTCTTGGAGATTACTTTAATTGGTAGAATGATGCAACGTAATTAAATGATCAACTGACCAGCATAGCGTCTTCATCGGTGACGTCATCTCCGGCGTATATGACTCGGATCCTCTCGCACCAGTCCAGACCGAATGCTGTCCTCAGAATGTAAATGGACGCCCGACCTGAAAATAAGAGAAAAAAGTGGTCAAAGTACGGCATTATACATAGGCCGACGGCCTATGAAGAGCAACGGATTCCCGTTACAACGGGACTATAGTCATCTCGTACTAAACGGGGCAATGTCGTGAAAAATAGGGGAAGATGTAAGAAAATGATACGATATGAGTAAATCTTTCTACTCTACAGTCATAGATCGATTCTACACTTCTACCCTGTGATATTATTATCATCATCATCATCATTTCAGCCATAGGACGTCCACTGCTGAACATAGGCCTCCCGCAATGCTTTCCATGTTGATCGATTGGTAGCGGCCTGCGTCCAGCGCTTCCCTGCTACCTTTACGATGTCGTCGGTCCACCTTGTAGGTGGACCTCGCACGCTGCGTTTTCCGGTACGCGGCCTCCATTCCAGAACCTTTCTGCCCCATCGGCCGTCAGTTCTGTGTACTATGTGCCCTGCCCATTGCCATTGTGATATTATACACGCACATTATACGATTAGAAAATCAGAATTTGAAATCGCAATAATGCTCGAGGTTGTTAGTTTCCATTGCCGGACGAAGGTCGATTACATTACGTCTTCCGGTTCTTGCTGTACAAATCTAAACTTCTGTCGTAGACATGCTATCCCAGTATGAGCTTGAAGTAGCACGCACTTTTGTCCTACTCGAGGGGCGGGCACACGCACCCGCGATCAACTCGCACGCACTCGCTTCAGCAACGGCATCTCGCGGAAATGGACCGTCAGAAGAGCACCCTTGTTACGTCCTTCAGTCCTACTAATCTAAAATTCCGTCGTAGCGTAATATTCCCTCTATGAGCTAGATGTAGCACGCATCTTTGGGGCGGGCGCGCCTCGATGGCACAATGGATGGAATCCGGCCGCGGCGATCATCTCTCGCGCCTTCCGCCCGATGTGGACCGTCAGGAGAGCACCCTTGTTCTCTCTATTATGTCTTTCAGTCCTACTAATCTATTATCTGTCGTAGACGTGCTATCCTAGTATGAGCTGGATGTAGCACGAACTTTTGTGTCACTCGACTGGTGGGTGCGCTTCGATGGCGCAGTGCGTGGGCGCCGGCATGAACCCGGCCGCGACGATCAGCTCGCGTGTTCGCCTCGCTTCGGCAGAAGTGAAACGTCATGAGAGGAGCGCCCTTGTTCTCCACCCACGCCTACTCCTTCAGTCCTATTCTAAAATTTTGTCGTAGCGTAATATTCTTTCTATGAGCTGGATGTAGCACGCACCTTTGTCCCACTCGACGGGCNCGACGGGAGGGCGTGCCTCTAGCGCACAATGCGCGGGCGCCGGCGTGAAGCCTGCTGCGGCGATCAGTTCCCGTGCCTTTGCTTCTAACGCTGCTCGTTTCGGCAGCGGAGTCTCGCGGAAGTGGAACGTCAGGAGAGCACCCTTGTTCTCCACCCATGCGCCGTCTCTGCACACCTGAGGAGATGAAAGATGTCAGATAGTGGACACCGTAGTTCTACTGCTCAGTTACCTATCCTTTACTTGAATCCTGATAAAACCACGGAAAAAATATTCTGCCATATGTTATGGCTGCCAGGAAAAAGAAAACTCCCTGACCAATGGGTACTATGTAGCTGTTGTGCGAGGATATTAGGTACCAGCGACCTTGGCTTTAACTGGTAGTCTTACAGCCTTACACGAATTACCAGGTCAGGCGACCNATAAATAAAACTAGCCACTAAACATTTTTATACCTACAGCTTACTAAATTTCGTAATAAAAAGAACTATTCTACAGGCTAATATTATTTGTCTCATATGTTGAATTAGGTGAATGTATGTATACTTATTGTATAATTAAAACTAGACTCTAACCTAAAACTTTTTTTATTATAGAGCTAAGCGTGAAGAAAAAACAAAGAAAAGTCAGAAGCATAAGGTGAAGAATAATGCCAGTGTTGCACAACCACTTGCTGGGCCGTCGTCCACCAAGGTCACCGCGAAAGACATTATGGGCACCGATTCGGATGTGGATGAAGATAAAAAATCCGGTAAAAGAGATGAGCTTATATCATATTTATGTCGTCGTGGATCTAACGGTATTTCCAAACAATACAATGCAGATATTAGAGGCTTGCGTTTTGCAGATCTTAAGCTCTACATGTGTAGTGAAATCGAAAATATTTCACCTATGNTACCAGGTCAGGCGACCATTATGATGGATGAATAAATTGGTAGCAGTACTAGTACAGCATCTAAAGTAGCTATTGGTGGTGGGCTATACAACTATGGCTTGTGCAGAACAAATGCGAGATAGCTTTTGTACAGTAGTTCAACGGTTCAAAAGACATCGTGTTACCTGTTCCTGCAGCGACTTAAGCAGCTCCACGACCTTGTCCTGGCACTCCATGGGCATGGGGTGCACAAATTTGCTGCCGTCTGGGTGCAGGATCTCCAGCCCGTGGTTGCCGGCGTACGTGATGCCCTCGATGCCGACCTGTGGGTGAAGGAAGAAAGGGTAAGTATTTTCATTCATTTATTGCGCCATTTTCTTTCATCAGAGATCCTGAGACCTGGTCTAAGGATAGCACGATTCACGATGTCTCGTGACATACATATTTTATGCTAAATAAACTTTATACCTAGGTCCTAGGACAAGTTGACTCAACAGGAAAAGTAGAGTTGAAGGTTAGCAGTGATTGCCTTCTGATTATAATCTTACTTAGTTGTATAACATTAGGTAAGTCGCTTAATCGTTTAGGTTTAGAGAGAAAATGTATGTTAGCATACAACAATATTTTGACCGACTCTGTGGGTTCAAGTTGTCAAGTATGTCAAGTGTAGCCGAGACCACAGAGGTGCTGCGCACGCGTCGCAATAATTACGTAACATAGCCCAACAAACAATGGGTAGTAGGTTAAAATCCCGGTTAACATTTATCATCTGTTTGTATTATCTCGCTGTAGTACATTACATTATAAATATTTTTGTTTAATTTCTGATAATGATTGTCAAAGTTCAACTGATATTGGCAGCCTTGTACAAAAGAGATGATGTGACCATGTGATAAGGTACTTGATACAAATAAGGCCTACGTTCTAATAAGGCCTATACCTCAGAAAACACAGATAAATAAACTGACCGGGATAATACTTCAAGGACACGTACTCATATGCCCTATAACCCAGTAGAGAGCAAAAGCGTCCCGATCCACGAACCCAGCACCAATTGGCACGCGTTCTTCTAAGGTGGTGGATGATTTCGTGCTCTTTTATAAAAAACCGGCGATTTCAACTTAAGTTTTTAGTAAAATGATGCTGTTTTAGATTAAGCTTTTCTTAGTAATCGTTTCTAAATATTTCTTACTAGCTAATAATTACCTTAATTTGTACTACTGGCTATAGATGCATTATTTGTAAATTTTTAAAGACAACAAGAGCGAGATATCTAATAAGGCCTAGGCCTTATTTCAGCATGGTAGGCCATATTAGATACTTATGTCAACACCTGATTACGGACAAATTCATTAAACTAAATGAGTCAAAGAGTAACAAAATATTTATATAATAAGAATGTTACTAACAACACAGAAAATAAAAAGAAAACAGTGTCAAAAAACATAACAAAACCTGTTAAAAATACAAACAAAATACAAAACCAATAAAAAATAAGAAAAAAAAAGCCGTATGTATGAATCTAAAGGAAAGGAGAATAAAAGTTGGTATTATCTTGCCTGTCTCGAAGACAAAGTAGCAGATATGCGACCATAAAGGACTGCTTTAGGTGGTATCACAAAGATTGTGTAGGAGTTCGTAAAGATGATTCAGAAGCCTTTTTATGCCCTGGTTCTAACAAAAAATTAGATCTCATTTTGTTTACAAAAATTCAAGACTAAATGATGTTCCTAAACTGATTTATTTGAAAGGTTTTATGTGTAGGCCTTATTCGAACACGGTGTTTTAATAAGCCCTATGCAAAAAAATAATATTGTTTGTTTTTGATATTTTTTTTGATAATATATGTAAGGAATCATTACTTTGTTACTATGAATATTAAATTTTATCTATAATTTATGTATAATTCTTAATAAGTGGAATTTAAGTTTATCTAGAGATGTACAGTATATTTCTGTTTACTTGGTATGTAAAATTTTGAAAACGCAAACAAATCGACGTGTTTAATGTTATGAGACCGCATTTTGTTCAATAAAATCACAATTTTAAGGTCTAGAGGCATTTAAATCATATAGGCCTTATTCCGTGTAGGTGATTTAATAAAGCCAAAATCAGTAGTTTCGTAATTTGCTTATTTTGAATAGATTTAGTTAAAAATTGTGTTATTTTTTGTAATATTGCTAAAATTAAAGGATGGAAGCAGTTAATTAACCTTGATTTTGTTTATTGGCGTTAATATTTATTGAAATATAAGCATTTAAAGTTAGGTAGGCCTTATTTGTATCAAGTACGTTATTTCATTGAGCGGGGATGCGGGTGGTCACGTGCCATGGGACCTTCGGGTGGAATCTGTAGTGGACATGATCCATTTTTTGTGGTACAAGAGATATTTGAAAAAGGCCGTTCTAAATAATTGTATCATTTCGTTTTTTTTTGTTTCATCTAATTATAATTTTCTATGTTGAATAAATTAAATAAAAATTCTCATAAAATATAATAATTTGAAATCGCGGCTTACAGAACTACGGCATGTTTAGTTACTCGTATAATTTAATATAGTCCTATTTTTGAAAATGAGGGCACCACCATATCCTTATTTCTTAATTTATGTCTGAAAAACTGTAAAAGTATACGAAGTCGAACTTATCGTATAAGTCAGAAACGAATGCCTATCCATTTGTGCTTAAAAATACATCTCTTGATACAGCAGATAAAGACTTCACTGCTTTAAAAATAAATTGCTGTGACTGCAGTGATATTTTTACTCTGATTTATTAATACACTGCCGTAAATAAAAAACCGCATGATGTCCTTAAATCACTGCATAATATCTGTATATTTTAAGATGCAACGTTCCCAGACCAGGGACTCTAGATACGCGGGGGTCAACATAATATGGCGGTGACGTCAAGCATGAACCCTGCAAGTTATCGCCTCGCAGGCGCGAATTTATTGTCTTATTTTTGTTGAACAGCCGAGACCTCGGCGGTGTTTGTAATTGAACTTTTCCTTGTAATGGTGATGCAAGCCGCTTCTAAATTTCTTGCAAATGCCTATTTTTTTTAGATAAACGCTTATAAATAAATATTTCGATAATATTTAGTATGTTTCCATAATATTTAGTATGTTTCCATCATGAAAAACTGATAAAACGAGTAATATTTGAAGATTCGAGTGAATAGAGTGTTGGTTTACCGATTGGCGTGTAATATGACGTCAGTTCATAATGATATAGCATAAAGTGTCGTAGGTACTAACTCATGTAATTTTATACCTAATAAAAATTCCTTAGAAGAAAATATTAAGTGACTTTAGATGAAGTACCTAATTGCTTGCTTCTGAAATGTATTGTGTTAACGACGGACAACTACGGAACCCCACACTGCGCGTAGCACGACATGCACCTTGCCAATTTTTTGTCTATGACTAAGTTTAGGAAAAACCAACACTTAGGCGTGACTTAGGTACGAGTAAGTAGTCGGTCTACTAAAGTTTTAGGTACCGGTTGACTTACCATATTCTTGACATTGTCGACATTTCTTCCGGAGACGATGGCGATGTAGACATCTGACATGTTGGACAGCCTCTGCAGCGTGTGCTTGGTCTCCAGGGGCAGAGTGGCAAGGTCCGGGTGGGGGGCGATCGGAGCCAGGGTTCCGTCGTAGTCTAGCAGTAGAGCTAGCTTTTGCGTGTAGCCGATGTACCTAGAAAATTAAGGAACGTAATTTGAAATTAATACAAAGAAAACGGGAATGACTGTCAAAGAAAAAACAGAATAAAAGTTTTCATAAAATTCCAACAATAATGAAATTGTAAAGCAAAATTGGTCTGGCCTGTTTGACTAACCTTTAAAAAGAACACATCAAAGTCAATGAATACGTGGCATCTCGGGAATTTTCAAACACAACGTTGGACCTAAAAGTAATGAGTCTTTTCGCGTATGAAAAATCCTCCAGATGGCAATACGTATACGCGAGGTCCAAATGCTGCATGATTGGGTGGTTTTGACATGACATTGACAGATATGTCAAAATCCACCAATCACACAGCAGTCAAACCCCACATCCATGTCCCGCCATCTAGCGGATCTTTCATACGCGAAAACCCTCATTGGAAAAGTGCTTGGAAAATAATTGCCAAAGATGGAAATAGCACTGAAGTTGATTGATATGATTACAGACTAGGAACAGGAAATTCTTGAAATCTAAAATTTACTTGATTAAAGATGATTAGATGCAAGTATACTTACTTCGAAAGATACTCGTCGAAGTCATCAATAGTCACTGGTGGGATGGAAGTGGCGCCGATGTCATCAGCCTCTTCCTCGAGCGAGTCCATGGCCTTGAGGAACGCCTTCATCCAGCTGTCCACGTCATTCAGCTGTTCCCTCCGTCGTAAGTGGTTCATTCGGACTGTCCTCTCATCTTCGGGCATTATTAAGGCTCTGGAGTAGAAGAAATTGGAATTGAGTAAGAAAGTTTACTACTCAATAAAAATAACCACTGAATCTTGGATTTGAACATAGGATAAACTTGGATTTGAATCTAGAATAAATCCTACTAATATTATAAATGCGAAAGTTTGGATGTCTGGATGTTTGTTACTCTTTCATGCAAAAACTACTGAACGGATTTTGATGAAATTTTACAGTATGATTGTTTATAACCCAGATTAATAGGCTAGTTGCCTAAAAAAATTTTTTTAGTCCTTAATGTTTAATATCAAAAAATATTGGACACATATATTTTTATTTGTCAATCTAACAAATAATTACATAGTTATGGTGCGTTGAAGTTGCGCACGACGTCACAACGTGCGGCATTTTTAAGCAAGCGTTGACGTCACGGGCCTCTTCTTATGAACTTTGGGGCGCTTTATCTCTTTAAATTTTCATTAGTTTGAAAAAGTGAAAAATACGTGTAGAGTATTTTTTGATAAGTTAACTGACGGACTAATTAAAACTCTTGCTTTTTGACCCAGGCAACATCCCCATTATGACGATCTGTGACAAACTATTGTAACATAAAATGTTGATCTTCTGAATGTGTTCTATTCTCGGATCATTCAAAAGACCTTTTTGTTAAGGAAAGTAATTAACCCACGATCTTTTGAGGAAATACCNGAAATACATACTAATGAGTAGTTTGTCATTGAAAACGTAGCAATTATTTTTTAATATTCTTTGCGGTTTCCCTCATAATTGTAGTTTAATGATAAGACTAGAAATACCTGTGAATAACCTCAGCGGCGTCATCGAGCTCGTACGGATTGCATATTAGGGCTTCGTGCATCATCTCTCCCGCCCCAGCGAAGGGAGACACTATGAGGACTCCGGGCGGCATGTTGATTTGGCAAGCTACAAATTCTTTGGCGACTAGATTCATGCCGTCACGCAGGGGAGTGACGAGGGCCACGGCAGCATCGCGGTAGAAGGCAGCTAGCTCATCTTGCCCAACGCAGCCATAAATATACCTAGCGAAAAGAAAATAAGTTTTATCAATGATCAAGAACTTTTCATTCAGGATCTACTCATCAGCAGCATGTTCTTGTAACTTACCTAATAGGAGACCAATTCGGAGTAGTAAACCTCCCATTTATTCTTCCAACTAACTGATCCATCTCCTCCTTCAAATCTTGGTATTCTTTTACATCTGTCCGCGAGGGTACAGATATTTGGAGCAAGACCACTTCCTCTATGTGTTCTGGGTATTTTTCGAGTAATCTTTCGAAGGCTTTCAATCTGTGTACTAAGCCTTTTGTATAATCTAATCTGTCAACACCTAATATCACTTTTTGGTTTGTAGAGAGCACTGGCTTCGCGTTTTGTGCCAATTGCACAAATCTATCAAAAGGTACCCCTATTGGTAAAGGCCTCACGCAAATGGTGCGACCGCCCAACTCGACTAGAAGATTTTTTCTGTCAACACGACAACCCAAGTTTCTTTGGCAGCAGTCAATGAAGTTCAAGCAGTAATCCGTTATGTGGAAGCCGACCATATCGCAACCTGTAATCCATAACGACAAACATCATCTTCAATCATTTTATGAAATCTTACAAATTAATTGATTTCAATATTAAATGCTCCAACTTACCAAGGATGCCCTGTAAAACTTCATCAGACCATGGGAAAAGTCTGAAAATGTCCCACGGTGGGAATGGAATGTGTAAGAAGAAAGCGAGTTTGCATTTTATGTCTTCTTCTTCTACTTTCTGTAAGTTAAAATTTTTGCATTAGTAGAAAAGTGGAAAATAGCTTTCATATCACATACAAGTTTTTCATAAGTTAAAAGTGAACAAACCTGTCTGATCCAGTTAGCGGCTAACATGAGATGGTAATCGTGCACCCAAACAATAGGTGGTGATCCGCCATTCTTTTCTTTGCTGTCTCTCAACAACCTAAGAGCGTGGACGGTTTTCTCTGCGAACTCCTCGTTGATCTTGATGTACGCCCTCCAGTGGTCGGCGATGAAAGTGGCCCGATCGGGCATGGAGTGGAAGAGAGGCCAAAAGGTGCCATTGCAGCAACCATTGTAATAGCTATCGAAGAGCATAGGTTCCGCGCGGATGGGCACTATCTGAAAGCACGAGACTTTATTTATTTACATACTCGTATCTTTGTACACATCTTATCTTTCTTAGGCTTAAGCTTGATGGATATCATGAAGGAAGACAGACATAGAATTATAGATATCAATTACGATTCGAAATCAATTCCATATTCTTAAGAACTATAATGGGAATTTGATAAAGTAAATACTGGTAAATAGACACCATAAAACGATTACGTTATTTATTGTTCTCCACATCGTTTCTATTGATATTGATCTAACAAGTTTCCATTTACCGCAATCTAATCACTTTGCACGCTTCTATCGTAATTGCAAACTAACAACACCATAAATAAATAAGACAATAGATAAAACAATAAATGACGCTATAAAACAGATCTCTAACTATAGTTTATTAGAGTGGCATTATCATAAAAGAGAAATGAACAATTATTGATTTAGTTATAAAATTTAAGAAAGAAAATAAAATATAAGATGTTTGTCGGCCGTTTGGTGTAGTGGTTCAGAACGGACTACTATGCCGAGAGGTCCCGGGTTCGATTCCCGGCCGGGCAGAAATTGAAATGATGAATTTTAATTTCTGTGACGGGTCTGGGTGNTTATTTAAAAAATATGGCCGAGTTGGAATACTGTATAAATAGTATTACCGTGCTAGCACCCATAACACAAGCATATAAATTGCTTACTTTGGGGCTAGATGGCGCTGTGTGAGATTGTCCAAAGATATTTATAAAAAAAAAAAAATATTGTCATAGAGCTTACCACCAGAATACCTAAACAATACAAGACTTCATGTAGATTTCCATTATTTGTTTTCCGTGATCGTTTCTTTACTTAAAATGTGTTTTTCCTAAAACTTCTTTACCAAGAAAACTAATTCTCACATAATGTATTCTACCTAAATAAACTGCAATCCTTTTGCCGTTCTTTGCGTAAATACAAACACTATACTACAGTGGATTGAAGTGCTCCATCGATTCTCCATAAAGTATTTTTAGAAAAGTGACAAATATGCGAGCAAGGTAAGGGGTGCGGAAAATGTACCAGCCCAGACACAGTTTATCGTGATGTGAACTCTTTGAATGGCTCAATGAAGTACGGAATCATATTTTTGTCAAGACTATTATTTCCTAGCCACTAAACTACCTAATTTAAACTTTTAACTATTGAACAAATTTAACTAAGGATCGGACTCAGAAACTTCCCTAAAGTCCTAACCATTGGGCTATGGAGGCATTACATAAAAAAGTGATAATAGGCATGGAAAAAGTCCCAGACAGTCTAGTCGATCCTCAGTCTGTCACAAAAATTGCACGTGGACCGTCATAAATTCATATGCCAGAATCGTCGAGTCGGATTGAAGTGCTCATCGAGAAGTATTTATAGAAACGAGTAAAGGGTGCGGAAAATATCCCAGACACAGTTTAGGTATACCACGAATCGGTCACGAAAATCACACGTGGAACGTTGTAAACGCAAGCAAGGTCGCGTGACACAGCCGGTTAGGATCCTGATAATAATGACGTATGACAACAGTCGGGCGCTGTATGCCATAATAACAAGATACGACGTTTGAAAACATTCAATATTGATCAGAGAATGAATGAAACCGAATTGTTTTTATACCGACATTCAAATAGGTTGTTTGTGAGGCGAACCTACTGCGTGTAAAGAAGCTCCAAACTCGATTTAATTTCTAGCATAACTTGAGACTGATCAGTTAAAAATGTTTTCATATTCATTGCTGAGTCTGGGTTATTTCAGTCATAAAAGCATTGGATTTTACTCGTCACTTCACGTTGATGCATATCAGCGCATCCTGATGCTTTATGTGCCATTTTGCAATTACAGCTTCGCATTCACTAGTGCTAATGGGCTCTAGACGACCAGACAAATGATCGTACCTATTGACATTGCAAGCAATTATGGCAATTCTCTTAACGTTTACCTAACATCCCGAAGAGTGATCTTAATTCGTTTGTCTGGTGTTGTTCAATCGTTCAATATTTTTTCATTTTCATTTCAAAGTTGTTGGTAAGTCAGGTCAGATTTTAGTTTATCTATATCATCATCTTAGGGACATTTTTCTTCATCTGTTAAACCAGATACTAGTGATGGCTGAACCTACCTTTTTAGAGAGCAATCCGGCCGTAGGCGCCTTGTCCTTCGGGTCTGACTCGGGGATCTTCTCGTTGGGGTCCTCTAGATGGATGCCCGGCCAGCCCACCCAGATGCCCCCGCCGCGGATGACCACCGGCGCCACCGCAGTGACCAGCCCACCGGCGCTGTAAGAAAACATCGATTTTTCTTTAGTTATATCTCAAAAAACCGCTCGAAAATGCTTCGTCGTGATTGAATTCTGAGTTAACGACAAAAAATACTGGAGACACGGTTGCTTGTTGAATAAAATTGAAATGTGTCTAGTCATGAATAACATTCATTACATAAATAACGTGAATATGAAACAGCAACACATACCTATGCATCAATAGCAATTGCAATACAATAGTTCGTATAGACCGTAATACACACGATTTCGTCTCCTGAACCGAACGTTTTCTATTAGTTTAACTCGTAACTTTAGTCACAATTCCATTTTATACTTGATTTGGGATACTAACAAATTGTTTAAAATAAATAGTAAATGTCCCAAATTAATTATTAGGCCAGGGTCAAAGGATAAGTATTGAATCAACGTGACAACTGAAGATCTTAACAAGGTAAACGAGATTCTTAAAAGCAGTTGGGGCTGGAGTGTCCTCCAATTCGAGTGATTGTGGACAATTCGGTAAAGTACACACTGCACTGTCTTAAATTGTTTTACTGATGGAATCTTCTTACTTTAATAGTAAAATTATCTCGTATTTTGTCTTCTTTCATTATTTGTGTTTTAGTGCCAGACAAATGTTCTTCTTTATGTGTGTGTGTGTATATTTTTCTTTCAGTTCATTTATACAAATGTATGGGAACCACAAAACCACAATAATGTTTTTTCATGTGATTACGTACATTGTGAGTTCCCTTATCATTTCTTATGTCTACGACTTTATTATGCTGTAGATGTTTCTTCGAATCTAAAGTATTTATAGTCGACTTGACAGCACATCTCAAAAACCCAACCCAGAATTATTTTTCAATTTACTTTAAAATCCTTAATGTCCTCTTGCTTTAAAATCAGTAAATATTTAATTAAGTTGGAAATACGTCCTATCTCTATGTTTCTATTGCCATACAAAATCCATCAACCTCACAGCTCATAAAAAGTCAATTGATTGGTATTCCGTGACAATTTAGCGTAACTCCTGTATTAAAAACTGAATAGGTAGTTGGGTTTTCCTGTATGCGTTTGTACGAATTCTTACCAATTTTAAATCAACATGGCCACAATCAATAATATCGAACTGCCGGATATTTAGGTTATCTTTTGTTTATAACTTAACTGCGATACTACGCGCGATTCTACAAGAATCAAAAAGTTTCTATTATTATCATTATACAAGCTTCCATCAAAACAAATACGCACTTACTATAAAAGTATAACGTCAATGTTTTTCTATTTATTGAGTTCACAAATATGCGTCTTGGTTCAAGGTACCAACTATCATCATCTCATAGTAAGTTTTCGTCATCATCAAACATTATCATAGTGGTTACATAAACAGTGTTGCTTAATGAACAATACTTGTATTGATTTATAATGTTTTGTTTTTGTGAACCGTTATCATCTGTTGAGGTATATTGTTTTAAACAATTTTAAAAACTAGGACCACCGAGATAAAAATTATCTTAAATTTCGGTTTGCTGATAATTGTTGCCTAGTACTTAATTCTCTTTTTTTTACATTTCTTGTCATATATCATATATCTGCAATCCGTCGCAAAAGAAGTATTTTTTCATATCAGCTAATGGAAAACGATCATCCATCTCAACGCTAGAAAGTTTGGCAATGATTTGCCACCTTTTTTAAGATATTTGATTTGATTTAATTTTTTGGGTAGGTACTTCCTCAAAGCAAATCATTAACAATTAATTGTTTTTTTTTAAGATCATACTTTACAACGCTATTCATTTTCTTCTCTCAAAGATTGCACTAAAGCAGTTAATAAATATTTTCCTAAACAATGGGAATAATGTTCCTACGATAATAATTACGCAATTATTATTATGATGATTGCTATGCCTTGCATATTGCATACATTTTTATTTCAATTATTTCTTTAAACTATTGCCGTATCAAAAACAGTCTTTCTCTCTATTTGAGTGTAAGAATGTAATTGACTTTTCGAATACTGTTACTTACTTCCGAATATTTTTTATGATGATCATTTATTGGCATTGAACTCTAAACAAATAAAACATGTCAGGGTCTCTGTCAAGGCGCACAATATTGGTAAAGTAGGAACTATGACACCTAAATGGGCTTAAGATTTTTGTCTCCATTATCTTGGTGTTGTAGACTTAAATTACTTTATTTATTCCCCAAAAATTATAATGTTTCCTATACATTGGTATTCGTTTAACTGGAGGACATTACAACATCATTTAGATTCTGGAATTCTGGGACACTATTTTGTTATTTTAAATATACTTACATAACAGCTTCTGTTAAAAATTATTACCGTTAGGCCTATTCCTTAAGAAAATGTGTCGCCTAATTTATTTCCTCTTTCGAAATGTAGTAACCGGTATGATCATTAGAAGCGCCAGCTGACTTCGTAAATTTTGGTCCAAGACATGAATTAAATCTTGCTCGATTCTTTAAAAAGTCGTGAAATTGCTCCAATTCATAAGTTATTGATTGCTTTTAAAATTGGTCGGATTGTATTTATCCAATCTACACCTGTAGCAAGCCGAAACGGACCTTGACATTGTAGTCTATTTCCTGACTGGAGTCGATGAACTTTTTGCAAAACATCAGTGACACTGATGCTGATTATTCATTTGCTTCTGGTAAAAGTGAAAAGATTTCGGCTGTATATGTACCTATTTGGGGCACGTTCACAGTTCACACACACAAGCAACCCCGGCCGGCGCATGGTGCCGTCTAGAAATTTCCCGAACACACCACAACTTGTTGGAATATTCTTCCATGAATGACGCCACAAATTTTCGCAGACATCGTAAATTGTCCCGATTTGAACAAAAATATTGAGCAATGGATTCCATTTTACCAGACATTGAGTACCTAACTACACTTTTATCATGGATGTTTGATCGAAATGTTCATGTAAATTACTCGTGTAAATAGAAATAATTAAGTACTTACGCATTACCATCGAATATTTATATGCCATGAAGATTACTATTATTATTCATACAGAATTATGAAAAATGAACTCTACAATAAATGTTACTTTTTGTTTTTGCGTTTTTAAACAATCATACCGGCGTCGATTGATATTTTTACAATAATGCGACTGTAAAAGCGACTGAAGACTTCTGAGTTTTGAAATTATTGAAACATATCAACACTAACCTGGCTTTTCTCTCCAAATCGCCGGTCTTCTCATTTCTCTTCAAAATAAAAGGCAATCTGTTTGACACCACAATCATGCTCCCTTTGCTGTTGCACGACGAACGACTGGCACTGTGTTTCGTTCCACTCATGTTGTCTGTGTGTTCCTTTCCCCGACCAATCACAGCGGCGACCGAGCGCATGCGCCTCTAAAAACGGAGGGATTTTCAAAATATGTATGCGTAAAACTTTTCACTGTGCGCGAACGTTTGTCATTGCGTATTGGCGCGATTTTATCCCGGCTGCTAAGTACACAGCATCGCCGGTGATCGGAGGCGTACTGTATCGCCTTGTGTGTGTCGTTTGGCTTTATAGACTATGAAGACGCGTCGCCCTTCTGCGACGCGACGCCCCGCGACGCGGCGGAGGTCCGCGTAAGAGGTTATCAGTCCCCTGACCTCACAGAGCTGCCTCTCTTATTATCCAACTGGAGCCGCAATTTTTGCGAGTGAGATATTGATGCGAACAAAATTTCAAATCGAAGTTATTGTGCTTTGTTTTGTTTTACTTACATGAATGTGTAAAGGTCTTTTTACGGTTTGTCCCATAATTTTTTTCCAAATTTTAACTTAAATATGTCTGAACATCTTGTAGGAATTCAACAAGAATAATTTTGAAACTTTATACATTGAAATTCAAATCTCAACGAAATCACTGAAGTTTACATCAACATTGATTAGGTACCACGTTTGAAAATAGGTCAGGGCGATTTTCTTATTAAATCGATAACATTTCAAGGAATTCTAAGTTATCCAAACAAAACAAATATTGCGTTTAGAATAGACAAAATATTGGAACATTTATGAATCATTTCCCTAATGGATTAAATTTTTTGAATCATTGTCAATCATCATTATCATATAATTCAAATTAGTTCATTAGCTGTTGGATTCCCTTATTTTTGTAGTATTGGGAATTAATATGACTAATCGATATGTCGACATATTCATAAGATTACAACACACGTCGAAGACTCTCGGCAAACGTTCCAGAACTTCTGGATATAATGAACGATTGAGACTGTTGCCAGTTATCAGTTAACCATTAAACCTATAAATATACATGTAGGTGCTCGCAGTTAAAACCGATAATTAGTGACTAGAAGGTTCGTGGGAATCTGCAAAATTATTAAAAGTAGCTTTACTTTTGCAGTTGTTACGAGTACTTTAATAATTGTGGCTAACTTGTTTTTTATTTATTTCATTTATCTTACTGTATTATTTTCTTACTTATTATGATTTTTACTAGAATTATTTCCCTATTGATTTCTGCAGTTTATTTCCTTATTAATTTTCTATTTTTGTTGATATTATCGATAAAATATGAAATGTATTTATTTAGGTTCTTGACATTTTCCTCAAGTTCAAAGACATGTGGAGAATACCATGCATTATTAATGTGTTATTATCAAAATCGTTGTAGTAATATTTATTGCATTCACCTTTTAACTTAATACAGTTTTAAGTGTCTCGTTATCTTGTGTTTATTACTAATTACGCTTCTTTGTAGTCATTATTCCGAAAACTCAGTTAAGTATTCTGATAAATATGAAATTAATGCGATAATAAAGTACGTAAAGGTCTTGCGGAAAATTCTGCTCTCGTGTGGTCACAAAAACGTAAAGATCAATACGTGACGGGAATAGATTTAGATAGGTTTCCCGCATTATATGCGCGCGAGTGCGAGACGCGTGGTGCGTGCGTGGTGCGCACGCGGCCCCCACGTGACCGCGCCGGGCTCATGAATGGGCCGCGGGTGCATTCACAAAAGTACAGGCTGTTCGGTTTCAATTACTGTTTTTGTTATTTTGAATGAGTTGGCTTTTGATTAACAATTATTATCACACCTGAAGCTGGCCGGTGCAGACGTGATCTATTACGAGTATCTCAATTAAAAGACCTTGTCTAGAAGGACACAAGACGCCCATATTATACACGAGCCTATTTTCTCTATTTACTCTTTCTTTCTCCCTCGTCGTGACATAATCAAATATTTTAGTATGTAGATACTATCATCACTTTAATTGCTTTTCTCCGACGTTATTGTAGAGAAATTTATATTACTTACGAGTAAGTAGTATTTTTCCTGCAATAACAATGATACAATTTTAGTAGTTAATGAGTTATTACAATGAATGAATCACACACATGTCTCTAGTTAGAGTATACGCATTTCCTTCCATGCGGAAATTAAACCAGCCACTGTGTGTGGATTTTATCAGCTGGCTCATCGCTGCGTTACTTTTATGTTCATTAATGGAAACAGTTTAAACTAAAGACGATCGGTTTGCGTAATCAAAACGATTATCGAGTTGACCGCCTTGACGCTTTGTTGTGAAGCACTGGGAATTGCTTCTGGTGCTATAATGTTATGCAGACGTTGCATTCTTGCATTCGCGTCAGCAACTACGATTTTATATAACAAAAGATGTTTATTATTGCTAATCACCTTTATAATAATGGTGTTAGCAATGGGGGCAATAAANGACTCATTATGTACCCTAAAATTTCATAAAAACGCTATTTTTGTATTATTAATATTTTATGTTAGGAACCCCTAAAATAGCAATTTAATTTTTTTTAAGGACAGGTAGAGGCCTCAAGATGACAGATATCTCAATAAATTTAATGCTTATCGTAATCTATATGTTAAAACGCAACTTTTGATACCTCTTGCGTAACCGTAGCTCAAAAAAAAATTTTTCCCATACAACGACGGGACACCCTACTTTATATCCCTAACCATCTCATCTAAACCCCTTTAACATAACATTATCGTGTATAGAACTTTCACTAAAATATTTACGAGTATGTGTTTGTGTCTTATTATTTATTTCATATTTGTTGTTAATAGTTCTGTTTATATTTGGTATGCATGCATGAATATCATGTTAATATTATGTATGAATAATATTAAAAAACCACGTGTTGCTTATGATTATCACGGGCATTTTGTTTACCTGCATCTATGTCATGAATCATGGATGCCGGACAGCCTTGGCCACTCATTATGTGCAAAGCATTTGCGACTTAATTGCTTGGACTGTTAACTTTATCGTGGCATACACCATAATCATAAATATGGTAATCATTCTGACGTCGGTATTTGGTTAACAGATCAAAGTAGGTTGTACAAGTAGTTGTGGTAAATAAAACAAGGTAGTGTTATTGTTTATAGCGAAAGAGTTTTACCTTAAAAAAATAAATAATATTAGCCAAGACTTGGTAGAGCTTGCAGATACTATGGCAACAGATATTGTGAATACATAGATACAAAGGAAAATTACCATACCAGTTATTTTTCTGGTTAAACTCATCTCCGCAAACTCTCACAAACTAAATATCTGCTTGCACAAAAAGGCATTATGTAAAATCGATAACGAAGCAATAACTACTTATATGAATATCGAAATAATATAAATTTAATGACTTTGTTTACGAAAAGAAACCTTCTTTATTTTTGTCAATGAAATGAGGCCATATTGCACAAGAGTTTGGTTTATTCCTACTGTAATATTGAAAAAAAACTAGATTTTCCTAAGATATCGATTAGTAATGGAAACTCAAATCGCATGGTGATAACAATATTTATTTTACGTTGAGCTGAACGTGTGACATAGTTCATTACTTGTTTGCCCATAATTTAATTAACAATAGGGGATTTTCTTCCGCATGGAATAGTACAGTGTAATTATCACCTTGCGTTTACTGTTGTCTTATTTTACAAAATTCCATAAAGGAATTATAGAGCTATGTATTTACATTACGGAAGTTTATATCTTAATTATTTTTAAAAACGAGAGAGACAGGGAGTTTAGTATTACTTAATTACTTGTTATTGCACAATTTTAGAGAAACATTGTTTCAAACAAATTCGGCGAATTCAAAAAACAACCTAAACGTTTACATTATCTACATATCATAATATTTTGCCCTCTGAAAAAAGGCCATCAGTTGTGATCATTTGTTTATTTTTCAATGATTTTCAGACATATTTCACCGACGAGTAATGACTGTCATTTTGTCTTTTTGTTCCAGGGCTATTGCACTTTCAATTCACCCCATAAACTGTAAGCTCTCCAGCTTTGAACTTGTTTTCGTTACAGTTATATGACAGTTAGGTAACTTCCCCCGAAACTAACTTAAGCTTCTACCCACTAAAACTAAACCCTTTGCATAGCTTTATCGATGGACAGATGATAAATGATTTATGATTAACGATTGACAGAAAAAGAAGCAGTAGGAAGTAAAAAAAAATAAACAGATAAAATACGGACGATATCTTTCGCTCTTATTTTCTTTATTGTCATACGTATGTTTATCAAAATAAAGTAGTTGCAATTATATACGTCAACGCACAAGTTATCAATCTATTTAAATGCTCCAAGTTATCTACTCGAACTTTGGATTTCTGAGGTCATTGTCCTTGCTTGTGTAGTACATAAAGCTCTTAAGTACATACCCTTATCCCCGTAAAAGGGCGCGTCAGTACACTCAAACGTTTGTCTTATTTATCAATGTGCGTTGTATCATTTACGTAAGCAATTTATTTAGTGTTCTATTTCCAATATTAATATTGCATAAGATAGTACTGTTCCTACGGAAAATCAAATTGTACCTCGACCCTGATTAAATGCTCTATTTGCACAATCATGTCATATGATTATTGTATTTCTTCATTTTGATTGTTTGCAAATGGGTAAAAGCACTTTTAACGGACTTCAAAGAAAGGAGGAGGGGCGCAATTACTCGTAGTCTCCGATTAATTAATAATTCCGATTAGTTAATTAATAATTATTCCAGAACCTTTCTGCCCCATCGGCCGTCAGTTCTGCGTACTATGTGCCCTGCCCATCCCATTGCCACTTCAGCTTGCTAATACGTCGGGCTATGTCAGCGACTTTGGTTCATTTACGGATCTCCTCATTTCTGATTCGATCTCGCAAAGAAACACCAAGCATAGCCCTCTCCATAGAACGCTGTGCAACTTTGAGCTTCTGTATAAGGCCTATAGTGAGAGGCCACGTTTCCGAGCCATAAGTTATCACTGGTAACACACATTGGTTATACACTCTAGTCTTCAGGCATTGAGGTAATTTGGACGAAAAGATCTTGCGTAGTTTCCCGAACGCTGCCCAGCCGAGTTGGATTCGACGATTGACCTCCTTCTCGAAATTGGACCTACCTAGCTGAATCGTTTGTCCGAGGTAGACATACTTGTCGACAATCTCGAGAATTGAGATCCCAACTGAAACTGGGTAGGGCGTAACATGGACATTCGACATAAGCTTCGTTTTGTCCATGT